ATGAAGTCGTTCCCCTTTATTTCATGATGGTGTCTTAGATGTACTTTAAAAGAGAATTTCACACTATTCTCTTTGTTTAATGTGACAGTGTGAGAAAGTGATCTTTATTCGTTCAAAAAACTCTGCATGTAGTCTATGTTTAGGTTCTTTTAATGTGTTTGTCTGTGATTTTTAAATGCTAAACATGTAAACAGATAAATTGTCAATGTTAATTCTGTATCCTGTCACACAACTGATCTTTCTTTCCTGCCATTTCTTTCCTTTTTATCTTTTTTTTTGTGCATTCATGTTGCAGTTGATAAAATTACGTGAAGAGGTGAGTACTTCCTAGCTTCTTCTTTTTTTTTTTTTTTTAAATTCTGCTTTTCCTAATAAAATTGAGTTTTTAAATCTGAGGTGGATCTTTGGATTTGTTTTTCCAGGTAAATCTATATATAGCAAAAAGTATTATTTATATTGATCAGAAATTTTTTTCTGCTGATCATCTTTTAAAACACAACTATATCCTAATCATGCTTATCTCAGGGATCTTTGTTCTTTGTTGGAACTGGGACCAAGTTAATATTTTTAAGGCCAAAAAAAAAAAAAAAAAAAAAGGGAATAATAGAGGAATACCTTAAAACTATACCTGAGTATAGTTTTATTGTAGGCTGTAACTTCAAGTTTATTTATGTAGTTTCTCAAAGAATCTAGTATGATTTTTTTTTCCCTGACATTCTGGTTTACTTTACTGTAAACTGTTCTTAAACAAACTCCTTTCCCCTACCCAAAATTATTAGGTTTAACATAAGACACCATGGATCTATTATCCTTTTGGGGAAACACACATGTGTTATAAATGCCCCGCTACTCTGTGTGCATAGATACCTAAGAATAGCCAAACTTTCGTCATTGTTAAACACTTTCCTTTTTGTAGGATACAGCACCCAAGTGAGTTCTCATTTTTCTGAGTTTGCTAGACTGTTTCATAATGCAACTCCAGACTTTTTTTTTTGTGGCTCAGCAAATATTTACTGCAATGTATATAATTGTATCCCTGTATTAATGAGGGATGCTGAATGATTCTATTTTTTAAAAATTAGGTCAAACATATCAAATATGCTTTGGTACTCTTTTTTAGAGAGTCATATTTTTTATTTAGTAAGGTTGGGTTTTATTTTTCTTAAGACATAATGGCCTATATTGCAATTTAAAAATTGTCTAATTGCTTATAGTTTAGAGTAGTATGAATTACTTTTGAGTTTAGTTCAACTGCATTGATTGATAATTTTCTAGAATTTTTTTTGTTGGTATGTCATTCTCTAGGTGGTGTGGATGTTAACTTAGAAGCTTCTAGATAGTGGTTTTCAACAACTCTTTGAATATAAGATGCATTACTGATGTACTCTTTCAAAGAAAGTAATAATGATATATAAAATGAAGGGGGAAAATATACAAAAACGCTCACCCTCCAATCTTTTCGTGTTTTTTTATCTTCCCTAAAGGAAGCAGTTGTATATATGCTAGATGAATATTATCAGTTGCAGTTTTGATTTATAAGATTATTCTTGAATGAGGAATACATCAACATTATTTTTCTGCAGGATAGAATATCTGCTTGTTATATTTGCATATGTTCACGTTTAGGTGAAGAACCTGAATTTTCAAATGTTAATGGAACTAATAGTTAACTTGAAAACTTCTATCCGAAGAAACTACGTGATGCCCTTGCCCCTGAATTTAAGCAATGAATATTATTTAGATATTAAATTGTGCCTTATTATAATCAACATTTTTGACAGAAGATTTATTTTTGTTAAGCCTAATTGTGTCGAATTAGAAGTCTTAATTATAAAAACTTAAAACATCATGTCCGCATTTCTTTTAAAATATGTTTTATTTTTGTCTGATAGCTGAATTCTTTTGTTGTTCCTGTAGCAGTAGTTTCATCAGTTATGGTTCTGGAATTCATGTTTCTGAAACTGTAACCTGTAATGGAATCATAATTGGAAGAATAGATTATTCAACTAATAAAATAATATACTCTGAAATATTATTTTAATGGTCTTTGATATAGCTCTAGCATTGATATTTGTAGACTAGATTACAGTGATGCTGCTGCATTGGTATATGGCTTGCTGAGAAGTGATAATTTCTCAGTTGGGATTCTAATAGTAATCATAGAGAGAATGTTACCCCATGTTTCTTAACTTGCGCCTATGCTAAGAAGACATGCTCCAAACTGTGTTTTGTTTTGCTTGAAAACAAAAGTATGCCCCTTCTCTTCCTTGTGATGCTCTTTCTGGACTCGGTTCTGGAAATGGGGCATACTTGGAGGCAGGGTTGTAGTGCAGAGGAGCTGATCTGGTGTTGGCTGTGCCGAGCTGCGTTTGAATCCTGCATCTCCAGCTCTCCACATTGCGCAGCTCCTCACACAAGTTGAGCTCTGTCTGAAGCTCCTGCACAGCTTCACTTACCTGCTTTGAAAAGAGCTGAGAAGAGGGTGAGAGAATGAGTTTGGGATGGAGTGTGGGGGCAAGTTGAAAGCATCAGCTGCTACTGTAGTGTATTTCCTTTCATTTACAGAGACCAGGGCAATGTACAACTAAGGGAACAATGTAAATAGCACAGCTGTTTCAAGAACTTGATTTTAGTTTGACTTAAGTGAAGAGGTTCCAAAATATAGAGTGAAATCCTGCTGGAAAGCTGCTGGTAAACTGATAGTCCTCTTGTGTGCAGATTTACTCTGATAAAATTGAACTATCCTGAAGAAGAGTTACTTCCATTGTTTAGTAATATATATACTTTTAAAGTTCTTTCAGAAATTTCATTGTCTATTATAACCATAAAATCCTGCCAATTATTTTACATTTAAATGCCTTCTTACAGTAAATATTATAAAAGTGGATGTCCATTTCAAATATTGATCTTTTTTTTTAAATCTCTGATACCTAAATGTTTTCTTTTAATTTTGGGATTTCGTCCAATATGAAAATGAACCAAAAATATTTGTTGTCTTATTCAGGATTAAAATTCAGATTTACTTTTGATTTCACAGGTCTGATTGATACCTTTTCAGAGAATTACCAGTTTAAAGTTAACTCCTTTGTTAAGGTAGACAACAATGTTCAGGGAAGGGAAGAGCAATCCTTACTCTCAGAACCTGCGTAGAGGGAAACTTAGGGGTAAGAAAGCTATTTTTGACAAGCCTTAGTAAAGTGTTTAATTTTATTTAAAAATAGTCATTAATGCCAGACACATGGAGCTCCCATTGCTCTTCTTTTTCTTAATTACAGCCTTCAGTGATTTTGCTTTTTAATGATATAAGAAGCTTTTCTTCCTCCATTTTATTTATTTAGATTTTTTTTTTTTTTTGCAGAGGGAGGGGACAATTTTTCTCTTAATTTCTCTGCTGTACATTGGACGACTCTATTAATTATTATAGACTGTTGTTGCAGCTTCCTGACCTTCACATCAGGTCCTATCTCTCTGTTCTAAATGCATTGTTTTAATGATTCTATGCACCCCCCTCAACCCTTCCCCCCAAAAAAATTTCAAGGAAAGCTTTGATGTGGCTTTAGCTGCCTCCAACGTCTGGCCGCATCTCAGATGTGTCACCTATGCCGGGAGGGAATAAGGAAATCACGTTTTGAATGGTAATGATAACATACTAATCACTTCCTTTCTTTGAAGATGGAAGCGAGATATTCTGTCAGCATCCCTGGCTGCTAGAGCTTGGAGGCACTGGTCTAGGTGTATTAGCTTAAGTGTGCATGTCAATACAGCTTGCATCTCCAAGATCCATGGGGGCTCATTAGAGCAAGGTAGATCGTTTCGCTCGACAGCCACTCAGATAATATGTGTGGCACCTCCTTTTTTATTATTATTAGAAAGCATTTCTCCAATTTTAAATGACATCTGTCAACAACACAAAGTTGTAGGAGTTGTGGTTGTGTTTTTTCTTTCTTTTTGACCAGATACCAAAACTGATTTGAGAAGGGAAGATACTAATATATGCACATACATGTAGGCATGTACACACACACACACACACACACACACACAGATACATACATGCATATATTTCTAAATGTCTAGACATACATGCATCTATATACACACGCATCAGTTTTTATCCATTGATAGCCATGATTAGCTTATAAATCTATTTGGCAACCTGAATAGATCTAATGTGTGATCATTATGGTTAAAAACAACAACAACAACCATCTCAATGGAAAAAAGAAAGTTTAGAAGCTGAGGATTTTAAGAAAATTCTCTGATTTCCCCATCAGATAAATGTAAAAGAGGTATATATAATTACTATAAATTTAGTTCACAATCTAAAACACTGTGTGTTAAAATATCACCTTCAATCTACACAGTGCCATATATTTAGGAACAAATCCACAATTTTGTACATCTATGCAAATGGGGAAACGTGTCTCTTGTTTCTTGGTGTTGTCTCCAGTTGTCTTAAAACTAGAAGTACTGTTTAGTATTCTGTCTTAGTAGCATGTGTTGTTCTATATAGCATCTTGCTGCACATCCAAAATTGTGGAGCATTTTCTTACAAATAAAGTTCCTGTTTTAAAATTTCTATCTGCAAGAATCAAAGGAGCAAATGGATTTTTGAAATGATTGCATGTTATAAAAAATAAATACAAGTAGGGAACATAGACCTACACAAGTATCTCATATATCTGTCTCTGCTGAAACAGAAAAGATCCAGTTGGCTATGGTCTTCATACTTTTCTCAGTATTCTGGAGTAAGATTCATTGTGGCCACACACAACATAGGTCTCCTTTTAAAAACAAAAAAGTGGATGGTCCGTACGTGATTGATTGGAATCTGTCTATGGTAGTGGTTCCTATAATGGAAAATTTGCTAAAAATTAACTGTAATGGGTTGTGAACCCCCCTTCCCATGTTAGGGCTTACGAAGGCATTTTTTTTTTTAAGGCAAAAAAAGAACATTGTAGACGGCCGTCTGATTTTTTTTTCCCCTTTTTCTTTTTCAGAGGGCACATCTGCTCGATAACACAGAGAGGCTGGAAAGGTCATCTCGGAGACTAGAGGCTGGATACCAAATAGCAGTGGAAACCGGTAAGAATTCTGAGAGTGAGCAAATTGTCTTGCTTATGCACAGCAGTCTTCACAACACATGACATTTCAGGGAAACTTCAAAGGAGTAGCAGAGACAGCAGCCCGAGATGTGGTTTACATATTGGGGAGACAATTGGGAGCTTATTTGCGCTTATCTTTTTTCAAGTTAAAAGGCATGACATCTACTGAAAACAGTTCCCGAGGTTTAAAAGTATACATCTGAAAAGAGATGGAATACTTTGTCTAAATTCTACATTTGTCTTAATATGCAGTTACATGTTGTCAGTTTACCCACCCGCAATGATTGCTGGCACATGGCGCGGTCCTCTGTGCTTTCCTCCTTTACGTTTTATTCACATACGTAAAAATCAACATTTTAATCAATCTAAATCATGCGAACCAGGGACAAAGAAATAACAATACCTACTTTACTTTGCATATTTGTCCTGGCGTTGGAAATGATTCCTAATAATTCTGTTGTTGTTGTTTTTTTTTTTTGAATCATGAATCGAGCCTATAATCAGATACGAAAATTATGAAAATAAAAGTCCTAGCAAGGAGCAAGGCTAATGTTCATGATAATCTTATTAGCATTAGTTAATGCCCTTCAAACTTTTGGCTTAAACTAATACCAGTTATTAATTGCAGAAAACATAATATGACTTCTAAAATTGGTCTGCTTAAAATGAACAAGCTTTTTTATTCTACATGTTTCATGCCATGACTGTTTGTCTACAGAGTAACTAAATATCCATTAACACCTTAGTAGTCATCAGTTTCTTATTATTACTCTACCCTTTTTATTTTGTTTTGCCAAGCATAGATTATAAATAATCTGTATTGTATATTTCAGATAGCTCTTGCCCAATACGTGAACCACAAAAATATGTAATCAACAATATTTTTATCCATTTAAAAAAATTTAGAGTCACAGAAATGTGTATTTTATAAGAGCAGGTATAATGAAAATGATTCCAAATAATTTCTTTTATGAATGGTCAGTGTTTCTCTTGGCCTGTGTTAATGACTGTCCTATATTGGTTGGTTAATGTGATGAATTCTAGGCAACCAGATAGGAAGAATACAAACAACATTGGCATTATATTAATAGTGAAAAAAACTACAGAAAACCACAAACCTTCCGAGAGTTAATAGTTATAGATAGCCCTTCTTCCCGAGGTAATTGATAGGTTGGCTTTCTGCCCTGATTGGAATAAAATTCAGCTTTGTGTGTTCTTTTCATTTGGGGGCTCATTTTTAGAGGTGACTGTTCTTGGGAAAAATGCGAATAATGGAAAGAGCCTTGAACATGAGGTCAGAGGACCAGGTCTGGATTCTAGCTCTTGTTTGTGTGACCTTGAGCAGATCATGTTAGCTCCCTGAGCCTCTGTTTCTTCTTTAATAAAATGGAAATAATATTGCCTATACCAGAAGATTCTTAAGAAAAAATGGTACATGTAAAAAATGTTTTGTATACAAAAAAATATATAAAAATATAAATATTATTATTATCGTATGTTCATTGGTGATCTACAGGCATTTATCTTTATCTCATAAAAGATAACTTTTCTTATGATTGGAATTTATAAGTAGTAAAGGAATAGGAAACAAAATGTGTTACTTTGGCAATCCTTGGGAAACACAGCACTGTGTCTATGCAATATGACTGTAATCACAGGGACCTTCCTTGACAAACAGCCATGGGTGAGCCTCTTTCCACATGGGGCTGTTCTGAGCTTGGAGAGTCTTCTTGATGTCACACCAATCAGAAGGCTTGCTTTGGTTGATTGGGCCACACGGTTGCATGTCTTTGTTTTCTTTCACTAAACTATTCATATAGCTCCCTCCCAAAGCTGAAAGAAGGCTTAAGGTACCTGAAGACTGTGTTTTGATCAAAGTTATATGGTTGAATGGGATTCGATACTTACTATTTTTGGTGTGTGCTAAAACGTAACATTCACATTAAACTATCAATATAACCAACGTGGAAATGTCAACTTAAGACTGTCCCATAATCCTACCTCAGTCCCTTTGGACTTTTTAGTAAAATACTGTGGTATTGACTATGAAGTGTGATAACATTAGTTGTTGACTCGACATATAAAGCTTGGGAACTTCTTGCAAACTACAAGACCAAGTCTGGGAGAATGAATAAGAATGGGCTTTGTGCCTAGATGGTAGTCATCAATGCTAATTCAGTTTTGTGGATGAGTTTGAAAGTGGAGTGGGAAATGAGAAGGCAAGGACAAAGCCTTTTTTCTGTTCTTGCTGCTTACTGAAGTAATGTGGAAGGAATACCTTGGGGTGGGCACCATGTTGCTTCTGTACTTCCTGCTTCCCTGCTGGTCCTCAGCCTCGGCTTGGCTTGTCCATCTGCAGCTCTGTGTTTTGATTGTGATGTAAATTTAGGAGACTCATCATTTGTTAAAATATCAGAACAGTATCTTTGGAAAGAAAAACTTTCAGCGCTTATTGATGTCTTCTTAAAGACTATGGAATGCAAGGAGGAAGAGAGGTGGGAGAGCTGATTAACTTTTGAAACAGCACAAAAGTGGGAAATGGTTTCCAGTTCCAAGTATTGGTCTGAGAGCTGGTTCTAGAACACAACAGTTTTCACCAGTGCACTGCAAAATAAGAAGAGAAGTAGAACATAGTGACTTTCTCATAAAGCAGATATTATTCATTCACAAGACTATACTTATTTTTAAGATGATGTTTTTCCTATTTTGAAGTGTTAAAGGAAAGTTGTAAAATGATTGAAATAGTAGGTAGATTTTTTTTTTTTTTCTTAGAAGAATAACAAAATTGGCATCCCAATTTTAGGCTCTTCAAAAAAAATTTTTTTAATTTTTACTTGACCACAAAATAGGAACTATGGCCTGATATACTGAATTGGAGAGAGAAAAACCCCGTCATCTGTCCATGTCATTAATCAGCTGTGTGACTTTGAGAAATCACTTAACTTCTCTGCATGTGTTCTTGTATTTGCAAAATGGAAACTGTCAACCGGCTTCTATGTATCCCTTAAGGTTGTTATTAAGTAAAATAAGATCACGTGTACTTCAGTGCTTAGAAACGAAAGACACTTCTGTTAAAGTCATCATTTTTGTAAACTACCATCAGCAAAAGTGGTTAACTTTCAGAATTATTAGCGAAGAGTTCAACAAAAATCTGGGAACTTTTCTGTTCATTAACTTGATGAATGTTAATTGGCAAATTCTATAAAAGAAAGTGATAAAGAAAATAGAATCGAGTAGAGTGGGATAGAACACTACTATGGTGTCTTCCTAACAAATAATGGAATTCATCTTCTAAAATTCTTGAATCATTTTTGAATCTTATTTTGTCCTCTAGGCAGTCATTGTCTCTTCTGGAACTCAGCAGAGAAACACATGTCCACAATGTGCTTGGTCTGACAAAAGGCAAATGATTATTTCTAAGTGCCATTTACACCCTGATATGCACAGCGTTTAATACCAGTGAAGTTTCTTCGTGGATCCTTTCTTATATGAGAAAATTGAAGAAGCTACAAGTTAATTGATGAAACATTACACTGGTTGCATGAGCCATAGGCTGGATCCAGTGTGGCATTGCTTTTAAGCTCTTGTCCTAGAATCTGTGAATAAAAAGCAGCTCTTTCTTTTTTTTTTTTTGTTACTATTAATAATCAGATATGACTTTTAGCTGTGGAGATATTCATTTTGTTTGAGGTCAGGGACTTAATACTCAAAACTCTGGGTCATCTGCCCTTTAATCTGAAATTATGATTCTTCTTTTCTCTGAAGTAAATATCCCAGAATTACAATAGGCACAAAACTAATGGGAGCTGTATTATGAACAAAGAAACAGGCTGAAAGAGAAATTGTGCAACGGCAGAAATGCAAGGCTCACTCTCTCCTTTTAATACGTAAACAGGTGGCTTAAGAGTCTCCCGACTGTCTCACCTGCACTGTAGATGGGCCCCTGTGCACCTGGCAGTGCATCCCTGGAACTATGAGAGTTTGTCTGCACTCAGCAGCCTTGCATCCTTGAATTACGATCTGTACCATTTGATGACCTTGCTCCCCCATCCCTGGGCACCAAGCCTTATAAGTTATCACCCCTTCTCTCAGTAGCCACTTCCCAGGTGGCCACTGATCTCGCTCTACAACAGAGAGCTAACCTTCTGCCAGCGTTCCTGCCATGAAGAAGAGATGCTGTGTCCTTCACCCAGGGCCCTGTGTGTGCTGATGACTAAACATGTATAGAAATAATACAATGTTTATTGAACACTTACTATAGGCCACACACTGTTTTCCATACTCTATATCTATTGCCTCTTTAATCCTCACCACAAACCTATGTAGTAATTCTCCTTTCCTCGTTTTAAAGATGAGAAAACAAGGTACAGAGAGATTAAGTAATTATGGCAACACTTAGAAACCTAGGAAGTAGTGCATGAGACCGACTACCTGATTGTATGCCCTTGGCTGGTAAACCACACGGACATATATATGGGTTTCACATACCTGGATTTTCCAAAGTGATCTATTTTAGTCAAAATAAGTCATGTTCTTACATCTATTAATTTCCTTTTCATATCATGTATTTAAAAACTGACTATACCATGTGCCATGTGCTAAGGGTACAGCTAAAGTGCAGCTTATATATTGGGGGAGGCAGACAGGCAGGATGAGACAGACATTTTTTGTTTGTTTGTTTTGAAATGGAGTCTTGCTTTGTTGCCCAGGCTGCAGTGCCATGGTGTAATCTTGGTTCACGGCAATGTCCGCCTCCTGGGTTCAAGTGATTCTCCTACCTCAGCTTCCCAAGTAACTGAGATTACAGATTACACCCACCACCACACCCAGCAGATTTTCGTATTTTTGTATTTTTAGTAGAGGCAGGGTTTCACCGTGTTGGCCAGGTTGTGATCTCAAGTGATCCACCCACCTTGGCCTCCGAAGGTTTTGAGATTACAGGCGTGAGCCACCATGCCCGGCTGAGACAGACATTTTTTA